GGAGAAAAGGAGGGACAGGAGGGACCTTGTCCCTCTCTACAACTCTCTGAAAAGAGGGTGTAGCCAGGTGAGGATTGGCCTCTTCTCCCAAGTAACAAGCGGCAGGACAGGAGCAAATGGCCTCAGGTTATGCTAGGGATGTTTTAAAATGGACATTAGGAAAAATTTCTGCACTGAAAAGGTTGCCATGCCCTGGCACATGCTGCCCAGGGAGGTGATGGAGTCACCATGCCTGGAGGTATGTAAAAGATGTGTAGATTTGGCACTTGGCACATGGTTCACTGGTGGACTTGGCAGTGCTCTGGTTATGGTTGGATTCAATAGTCTGAGGTCTTTTCCAACCTAAACAATCCATAATTCGATAATTGGAGAAAGGTAGGGAGACATTTTGTACTGCTCAGATTCATGGAGTACAGGGCTTTCTTTGATCGGAGGATGGCATTGTTCAAGGAGAATCACTTTGGTCAGCCCTGTGTAAAGCATCCTGTCAAACACATCATAAAGATAAAAGGCAATTTTAGTCCTAATTGACTCCACTATTGCAGAATCTCAACCTGGATAAAGACCAGCAACAAGCTAAAATTGATGGAGAATAGCCATAATTATTTTGTTCAATATTTCCTGGTTTGTTTTCATTTTGCCTTTTTGGTTGCTGTTCTTGAGTGCTGAAACTTCTGATACTCTCCATATTAGGGGTGGTGACATCTGTCCCTTCCCAAAGCTACCCACAAGCAGGCTAAAGGAAGCTGCCTGTCTTACCTGAGAAACCAGAGTCCCCCACAGTTTGTAGTTGTCAGTCCAACCTGAATTTACAAGGCAGAGCCAGTGTTCATGTGACTGCACCATGGAAATAAGAACATTTTTAAAAAGCGCTAAAAAATGTTGTTTAAAAAAGAATATCATATAAAACACTCCAATTGTTTTTTTTTTTTTATTTTCTCTATAATGCTCCTTAAAATGCAGCTTTGTAGAATACCATCATATAATCAGCTGACCACAGAATATATTCATATTATTAGCTCATCTCTAGTCTCATCTGCTGTATCTCATAAACTGTTTGGGGAAATGGCTGCAATTTTGTTATTGTTATTCCTTTAACATTAGACTGTCACACTGCAGGACAGCAAATAAACAGTTCCTGGAGTGTTTGGCTAAAATAGCACAGGCTGTGATTTCTTTGCAGATATTAGGGGGAGTTCATAAGCTTTTCACTAAGCAAAAGATATCCCAAACTCAGCTGAGTTCATTGGCATTTTTTAGTCCAATTATTTCAATGTATTAATACAGTTTAAAATAACGTGTTTCAGAAATTCCTAATGAAAACTTCCTAATTTTTCCACCAAGTCTTTTATTCAAAAATATCCAAATAAAATATTTTGGTTCAGAACTGCAAACTTGAGTTTGGATTCTATAGCTTTTTAGAGGCATTTTGAGTAACTGCAAAACTAAAATGTATCCTTCTGCTGCAGCTTACTGCCCTGTGGAAACCATAATAATCAAGGAAAAAAATCCCAGAGAAATTTCCCAGGGAAAATTGTAACTCCAGGAAAAAAGGAAGGAGGGAATGATGAGAGATGCTGGAACAGGGTCACTCTCACCTCTTCAACTGTGTGACTTTAAAAATACTAAGGAGAAGTATCCATGTTATGGCACCATCACACTTCCACAAAGCTAATAAATCCAAATAAAACTGTCCTACATTTAAGTTTCTTTGAATTTAGAGCAGTTGGGGAATACCTCTTTCTTACCTTGCTGCAGACATCAGTTTGGATCTGATGGCATCAACAAAGGCCTTACCCAGGTCTGGTGCTTTCACTGACTGTCAAGGTCCTCAGTTAAATATTGAACAGTGTTAGATGCAGGACAGGATCCCATTCAGTGCATCCTTCCAGTCTGACATGGTACTATTCATATGCATTTCCTGACTTTTCCATGAAGCTTTATCAAGCTTCAGATACCCCACATTTCCACAGAATTTGTGAGATAGTGTCAAAGCCACATTAAAGAGCAGTAAATTACATTAACAGCTTCCCTCTTGAAAACAGACCTCTAGCAATGTCATCAAACAGAACTAAGTAACTTTGACATTATTTGGTGAGTACTGACTCTGCTTTCCTTCCAGTGCTTACAATCTGATTATTTGTAGGATATTCTGAGAAGTGCAATCAGGCTGGCTGATTTATAGCATTGCAACTTCTCTTACCTTCTGAAGACAAGAAAATGTTTGACCTTTTCCCATCCTCCACAGGTTTTCATAGATAATTGCTAATAGCTCTGAGGTTGATACTGTTCCCCTAAGTGCCCTGGGATGAATCAGCTCAGCCAATCTGAAAATATCATGTTTATCTAGCTATTTTCTAACTTCTCCTTCCTAGCCTAGACAGAAATCTTCCCTGAACACCAGTGGTGTTGAATGCATTGTCCATTTTCATTGACAATAAAAGCCAAAAAAGCCATCAATTTTCCCATCTGCCAGAGAGCCTTCCTGACACACTGAGAAACCACCAGTTTCTTTTTTCCTCGTTATACTACTAGAAATACAACATTTTTTCTTTACCACTTATATTTGCTTTGTGTATAAACTTTAAGTGAAAAGGGTGTCAGATGAGCATCACAGATTCACAAGGCTCTGAGGCTCTCCAAGAGCTACATGAACCCCAAATCTTCAGCTTTGCCTCTCTACATTTTCTGTACCTTCCTTTATAGCCAGATCTTCCCCTGTATGCTTGAGCAGGTGCAAGCACCAGTACAAAAATGGAGCCTGAGGAAGACATGAGAAATAACATAGAAGCAATGAAGAATAAAAGAGAGAGGAATGAAGGGTGTGTGTGTGAGGGGGTGTCTCCAAGACACCCCTGAAAGCTCAGCAGCCTGGTTGGAGTTGACGTCACACAGCCAAAGCTGAGAGGGTTGGCACATACTTCTTACGTGGGAGCTGGCTTCTCTCAAATCTGCTCTCAGCTTCATTGGCCTTCTGTGGCAGCCTCAGCCAGGCTTTGGAAAGGCTTTCAAAAGCTCAAGAAGACCAGGCTTTATTAGAAGATGAGCTAAAGTGAATCACTTTTTAAAAAGATCAGGCAGGAACAGAAATGCAAAGGCTCTGAAAAGCCCAGCTCTCCCATCTTGGTGCTGTGAGCTTCCCTCTGACATCCTGCTGCTGCCATGGCTCACATGCTGGGCTCTCATCCCTTGGACATTTCTGCAGGATGGAACAGAAACCACCCACGAGCATTCCTGGCACAGGCAGGCACCAATAACCTGCCCAATGTGAGGTGCAGGGTGCTCTGGGGTGCTCTGTGTGTCTCCTCTGACACACCTGCACGAGTGGTGCTCCTGCCCCTGGTTCTGGTTGTGCCATTCCCACGGGTTCAGGCAGCTCAACCTGCTCCAGCTGCATAAGGGCTCTCCTGGCCATGATTCCATCCCAGGCTCCTTTATGAGCTTCCCTTTTGGAAGGATATCTGGGGAAGCATGTGGCCATCAGGGGTGACAGCATCACAAAGCAGAGATGTTAATGCTTGTAATGCTACTGATATTTCCAGCTTCATTTCTAAGCAGCAATGACAGCTCCAGCATGCCCAAATCACAGTGGTTTCAGCTTTGCCTTATCTCCCCATGCACACATGCAAATCCACACAGACTTTGACATCAGTTTCTACCAGGGCACAGTTTTCTGTCACATAAAATGTCAGCATGTGATCTTCCATATTTCACTAGTGCTATCCTGCCATTTAATTTAATAACAGCTAAATATCAAGTGGTTACTATTTTGATGCTGTGTTCCATCAGCCATTGAATTAGAAATAATGAGACAAATCTAAAACTGTGATTCATGGTGAACTGGTCAAACTAATCTCAATCACACAGCAGATGACACCGAGTGATAACTGATTTAACAGATGGTCATCTGTTAGCTGTCCTGTCCTCTCTCACAGAAACAGGAACATTAATGAAGGACAAGTTCACTTATGCTTTACTAGGCATTTTCAAATAATATAAATATGTAACATAGGAACCAATTTTTTCCTTTCCTCTAATTATAGACTCTTTAATTGCATTTGACGAGTAATTGTGTATATGGCAACCCTTTGTGGCTTCAGGAAGCTGAGCTGCTGAGGGGTTTAGAAAGTATCTTTGGCATTTTCCATGAACATTTTTCAATTTACCATCATCTTGAACCAAAGCAGGTTCCTCACCCAAACTGAACTTGGGAAGTTCCTTGCATCTGTTGTAGCAGCTGCCCATTGCTGATCCTAAAAGGAGTGAGGCACGGGAGTAAACAGTTGTTAGAAAAGGCTTTCCAAAAATTGACTTGTCAGACTTTTAAAATGCTGAAAGTGTGTGCCCCAAAAGAAATCTTCTCTCTGTGTCTTCACTCTTCACCAGGTTTCAGCCTGCACATTTTCACTGCTGGACTCAGGTATTCTCTGCCAGGTTTAAAGATGCCTTACACATGTTCTGCTGCATCAAATCCAGAAATTCTCAGTAAGCTGTAAGTCATCTATAAATAAAATCAGTTGTCAGTTTTTCCTTCATATTTTTTATTAGTCACCATCAACAAAAAGTTGACTGAAATGTTGCTATTGATGATAGTGAAATCAAGAGGCGGAATTTTCCAGGTATGTTTTCCCAATTTGCTTTTGGAAACAGTATAATGAATGGATTCATTATCAGAGATAATGAATGAATTTTTGAAGTCTTGCAGTAAATTTTGTGCCACAGATTATATCCCTGTCAGGCCAGGCAGCAACTGCAAGATGCTTTTATGGCTGAGAACGATGGAGGTCTTACAGATCAAAAGAATTTCTACCACAAAAAAAGATCACCTTCATGAGCAGGTAACAGGGTCTAAATAAAATTACCTACTGTAGACAAAAGGTGGCTTTTGAACTAGAAATTCAAATCCGGTACAAAAAGCATTATGTGGTCTCAAGAGATACGTTCAGAAAAATCAGAAGGATGTTTCAGAGATGGTCTGTGACACAGCGCACGTGTCCAGCCTAGCGTGGGATGGCACAGAGCCTGTAGGGGTGGGGCTGCAGAGTGCCCCCCATGACGGGCTCCGTGCTGACCGTGGTCACTCCCTCGGGCAGGCGGAAGGTGAACGCCCGCAGCAGGCTGGCAAAGAAAATGAACAGCTCGGTCCTGGCTAAGTGCTCCCCCAAACACACCCGGTGCCCTGCAGAGGGAACAGGAGAGGACAGTGACTAAACAAACCTGACCCCAGCACCAACTGTTTTCCTCCTCACACAGCGCAAAGGTGTTTTTGCCAAGCCCAGAATTTCTGTAGGACTTAGTGCAATCAATGACACAAAGATTCATGTATTTCTTCCTTCAAAGAATTTTATCTGCAGCTTCAAAGAATTTTGTCCATGTAACCCTTCTGCTCCCTTCAATTACCTCAAAAGCCTCATCTTCATTTGACTGACAACTTTAAAGGATTCATTCCCCCATGTAAATGAAGAATAAGGGAGTTGTCATGTTCTAGTGTTGAATGCATAAAGAATCAAGAGGACTGCTTAAAAGTGCTTTCCATACATATGTCTGGTATGAAATGAGTGCCCAAAATCATTAGCAGAGAATGTCCTTCCAAAAATAGGGCAAGTTTGATGTATCTGTTTGTCAGGACACCTCTGATATTCCAGGTTATTATTTGTCCAGTAGAACATATGTTACTGAAAAGAATCATGTTGATTTAAGCAGTGTTTTCCACTGAAAGGTTTAGAATAGACAACCAATGGGTTTTTAGTAGACATCTTCATTCTACAGCCCCAATCCAAACTGTTGATGTTTGTGCTGTAGCCCACTCACCTATTGAGAATGGTAAAAAGGCTTCTTGAGCCACAAAGTTTCCATCCTTATCCATGAAGTGACCAGGGTTGAACTGTCGAGGTGTTTCCCACTGCTCTGGGTCATACAAAGATGAAGCAATATTTGGAAGAACTATGGTGCCCTGAGAGGAGAAAAACATTCATTCTGTTCCTTAGTCACATTCAGACCATAACCCAAAGGCATCCAGCCCCCCTTCTCTTGAGGAGAATGCCTGGCACAAATAGATTTTAATCCACACCATGCGCTATTGAATACAGGAAAAGTCTGTAGCAACTGAGAAACTGTGTCTGTACCTTTTTGAGGGGAAAGCCAAGCAAGGTTGTGTTCCTCACACACACCCTGGGCATGCCAACTGAAATGATGTTGCTGAAGCGTTGGATCTCATGGATCACAGCGTTTGTGTAGGGCAGCTCTCTCCGATCCTCATAGCAGATTACCTTGGAGGGACCCAGAACAGCATCCAGCTCCTTCTGCACCTTCTCTGTGGAAAATATTCCATTTCAGGCAGAACAACATAGCAAGTATTTTCAGTGATTTCATTTTCAAAGACATTTTCAACTTAGAACTATGAGAACAACACCACAATTAATTTAGAAAAGTGAGTAACTTCTTCTTATGAAGAAAAATAAAGTAGCAGGATGTTCCAACAGCTTAAACTTATGAGAACTCTGCTTCTGGGTCTGAAGTTATTTGATCATAGATTAAGAAAAGACATTTGTTTCTCAAAAATTTAAAACTAAGTGTTGCCTTACTACCACAAATCCAAGAGATAACAGATTTATCTTTGTGTTTTCTTTTGGCTAGGTGCCTCAAACTCCTGCAGCCAATTAGCACATTAAGCTCACAGGTCTCTGAAATTTATGCCAGGTGAGTCTGAGCCTTAAAAGTCTAATTCCTGTTAAAAGGACATTGTTCTCACATAGAGTGTCTGTTAAGTGAAGCAATGCCAACTAGAACAAGATTTGAATACCATTTTAAAAAATGGATCTACTGCTTGGCATCTACCTTTTAATCAAGAACAGCATGTTTTAAATTACTTATTGCACAGGAGTCTTGGGGGCATTAACAAAAATAAAACCTTTATTTATAAACTTCAAGAAAGGCAGTACACACATAATAAAAATACCTTAGATTTTTAATAAATGTTCCTGTCTTTTTTCAGGCTTTTTGAAGCAACAATAAGATGTAGGGAAGTCCATCCTGCATTGATCAGTCTGTGCCCATTCACATCAAGCATGCCCTGTGACTGCCAGCAGTCCTTCATTAAACTGACAACAGAGATTTAAGCACCTTACAGAATTTAAAATGTATCTTCAGAAATATTTTTAAGTTAACTTCCTTCTATGAAGAACTATCTTGCAGAAGCACTTGAGAATCCAGGTAGCTTGAAGTAATCAGTTACTGCCTCATATAAACACACATTTCTATTCCTGATTCAGTGATTAGGCAAAAACTTCTCCTTATGGTACAGAGTGGAACACTGTCACTGGATGTCAACACAGGAAAAGTATGAATGGGTTCAAAAAGAAGCCACCGATTATTTAAATGAGGACAGACATACTGGTGTCAGCTCGTTCTGAGAGCCCTGATGCAATGTGTTACTCAAGAAGCCCAGGAAGGATCACTCTGCACATGATCTGCTTTGCCAAGTAAGTGCAATATTTAGCTAAATAAAATTATACAGGTGAGTCAGTGCTTTCATAACTTTAATTAGAGTAAGTGATAGCAAAGCATGTGATAACATGAGATTAAGCAGAATTTCTTGTCTGACAGCTACAAGTTGACCAAATTTTTCTTACTGTCATCTCTTTCATCCATTTAAAATCCTGTTCTCCTCTGGGTAGTTGCACATATTCTGCAACCAAACTGTGAGATTTCTGTTATTCAACATAAGACATGTTTCTTCCTTTGGTTTTCATTCAGTGCTCTATTAAAGGGATTGGTGGTTATTTAAAAACTAGACTTAAAACCAAACTCCTTAAATACACAGAGATGTAACAGAAGAGCCATCTCTTTCCACTCCTGACTAGAATAATTTATGTTACAAGAAATCCCTGGATTCACTGATGCTGCCTAGGGCAGACCTACAAGTACAAAAAGGTACATGTGCCACTAGATGCATATGAGAATCTAGGAATAATTTCTGATCCATGAAAATGTTATGGAAATTGTTTTTTCTATTGCATGAAAGATATCTGTGATGGGCTTATCTATTCACCTTGGATGTCTGGGTTTGCCACCATATAGAGAAGGCCCCAGTTCAAAGTAGTGCTTGATGTCTCTGATCCACCCAAGAAAAGGTCGTTTATAGAATAAACCATGTTGTCTTCATTGTATGTTGACCTGGGTTCATCTTTGGACTGCAAATGATAAGAAAAGTTAGAGGCTTACACATGAAAGTTAGAAAAAACAGAATTGGATTAAATGTGATGTTATAACTGGTTCCAAGCTGCACTGTCTTCTCCTTATAGGACAATACTGAAAGACTGCTAAGGACTGTTAGACACCACAGATGGCTATCAACACAAAAATTAACCCTTCACAAACAGACAAGCCATGTTTGTTCCACTCTTAATCATAAAGATAAATTATGTTCTTTGAAAAAAAAAAAATTAAAAAGGGATTATTGGCCTCATGGGCAAACAGTGGTTAATTTAGAGTGTTTCATATGTAAATTTTGCTTTAAAGATGTGTACCAGTGTATCATTCTTCCTATCTCAAGTCAGAGTCCACCACTCAGTTGCTGTACCAAGCCATACAGTGACCAGGCAGTGAACACTGGGCTGAGTAAAGTTCTTAACCTGTGGCATTCGGGTTTCTTCTACACAAGGGCACAATGACTCATGTACAGCTGCTCTGGGGTTTTACAGTTTTCAATTAGGAGAGTGAGGATGTGTATGTATACACTGGAATTATAAATAAACATGGCTATGGTTTGGGGGAATTCATTGTCTATATTTAGGGAGATTTTGCTCAGGGGTGTTGAACATTTCTCTTGCCAGTGGAGCAATTGAAAAGAAGGAGAGATGCTTCTCCCTGCTGTAATATCATCTAATCTTTTTTTATTGCCCCTGTTCACCTATTACAGACAGTTCAATTTTTTTAATAAACAAACTTGGATGATTTCCACCCAACAGAGTCCCAGAAGAGCTCACTGAAACAATTTCTGGTACACTGATGTTCAAGTCTCATAAATTCCTAGAACAGCAATGAAAAGCTTTAGAAACAGTCAAATGCTTTGGAAGGCCAGGTGTGTTAGTGTGCTGATATAAAAAAAAATTAAAACAAGAGAATTTAAGGAGGTAGAAGCCATTTAGGCTGACATCCACACAGTACATAAGAACATAGCAGCTGATGTGGGAATTAATCAAAAAATAATTATCAGGGAGAGGTAGGTGAGTGCTGCAGCCCCAGGTTGTGGCTGCCTCTGTTGCTGCTACCAGCACATGAGAGTGGTGAGAGGGACACTGGCTGTCCCTGCAGGACAGCACTGCCCCCAGGAACAAGAGTCACTTCCCAGGGCCTTTGGCTCTCTGGGCCACTCTTGCCTTGCCACACCCCAGTAAGACCAGTCTCCTCTTGCCACTTTCTCCTTTTTCTTTCTATCACCAAGCAGAACAGGAAGATGAAAATATCCTGCCACAGGAGGAGAGGAGAAAATAAAGGAAAGGTGATTTAAGTGGAGGTAGGAGTTACAGAGGGGAAGGGCAACTGAGAGTCCAGGGATCAGGGCTGGGATCCAGTACCCAAGAGGTTCATACAAAGTGATCCTGGTATGGTCTAGAAAAGGGAGAGGTCTTGTGACCTCCTACAGCCCTACAGATTCCCACCTACATTTACTATGCCTGCCTGACCAAAATGCCCTTATTTGTCCCAGTTCCTTTATCTGGTTGACACTTCACTGACCCTGGCTCTCTCCTCTTCTCCAGTCTTGCCTGAAAGACTGCTGACTCCTAGGTTACTTCTCCATAAAATGTTCTCAAAATCCTGCTGTCCTCTTGCAAATTCTCTTGGCAAACCTTTACTGGGAAAATATCATAACCAGAACATCCCACTCTGTCTTCCAAAGGCCTTCCCAGCTCTCTTGTTCACTTAGTAATTCACGACTCTTTCCTGGAGACCTTCAATCATTTTACGCCTTGTGCCAATGAAAAAAGCATGCACTGTATTAACCTGCCTTTTAATGAAATGATTGCAGGGTGCTGTGGCATATCAATGATAAGAAAGGATTTAGGAAGATCCTGGTTATTGGATTCACATTACCATATCTAGAAAGGCAGAAGATTGTGGTGATTCAGACTGGTTGTGCTGATTCATTGGTCCATGTCGACCTTTTCCCCCCATGACTGTATAATTGGGCAGAAAAAACTTACTTTTTCAATGTGATCCAGGTAGAAGTCAATGAAGTCCTGCAGCTCCTCTGGTGCCCCACGCTCTGTGTGCATCTGGATCTCTCTCCGTGTGAAGTTGCTCAGGACATCATAGCAAGCCAGCGCCTTCTTGTGAGGCCCAGGGAGGCGGCTCATCAGCCAGGGGAAGATTTCATAGAGCTGTGGGAGGGACACACAAGAGGTCCTGCAAAGTCTCTATCACGACAAAATGCTCTAGGGAGGCCTGCTACAAAGAGAGGTAACGTTCATGTCAGTTTGGGATTAGGGTCTCATTGGTAAAATATCCTGACAAAGTCTGCTCTTGGGCTTTCAAGCTGTGAAAAGTAAACTGTATAATTTCTAGTTTTGATGTAAGATTCAAACTTCCACTGGCTTTCAGCCCAATCACAAGCCAAATCAGAATTACTGTAACTAGAATGAATGGTATTCATCTATGCAGTTACTCATATCTTCAATTGCTATGAGCTGCATTCAGGCATTTTAAAAGTGAGCTCCTGCCCTCCAGTGGAGAATACCGGGAAGGGAGAAGCAAAAGTTGGAAACGCCTCACCAGGATGCTTGCCAATGCAAGAGCTGGTCCCCGATGGCTGGCTTTACAGTAACAGGCTGGGTAACCCCCAAAGTACTCTCTACCAATCGACTTCTCAAAGTTCCTCCATGAAATTTCAAATATCTGAAACCCAGAAAAACTAAGGAACAACTTTGAGTACTCTCCTCTATAAAGAAAGAGTTAGCTGCCACAACTAGATTATTTTTTCTTCTGTTTTACAATTTGGGAAAATCTGGCCTAAGAAATAGCTGATTTTGACCTATTCTGATAGCTAGAAAGTTAATTCTGGTTTCTAGCCTACATTTATGTCTGGGTAATCTGTCTATTCTTGTATCTCCAACATACAACGTTCTCTTAATAGTTCTTTTTTTCTGCTCAAAATATAATTCTATTGTTTATTTAACAGCAGAATTTTTATCCTTTCTCAGTCTTCATTTTGCTGAGCTCTTCTTGTACTCTTTTAATCACACTACAGAAAACACATGTTTAGGTGTTTGCTGGAGTGTGGTTGAATTAGACTGTACTTGTATCTTCTTGGGAAATGAGTTCTTATTGTCAGACATCCAATTATACATTAATGATTGCCTTATCACAAAAAAAGTACTTGTCCAGTCCTTGGTAAATTCACTTAGAACTTCATATCCTTTTTGGTTAGCTCCATCTCTGGTATTTTTTTATTTGCAAAATGTGTTCAGAAGTCTTAGACACAACTGTGGTCTGACTAATCACATAAAGTTGCCAAGATAACAGGCATTCCTACTCCCAAAAGTCTGCTCTGTCTCCCACCACGGCACTCTAACTGTAAGCAGAATTTAGCTGTCAGTGTTCAAGACATGAACTGTGTCCATCCACATTCCTGGGTGCCTGCCAAAACTCCTCCTCAATTTATAGAGGGGCCCAATCCACAGTGTCCCCCTGTTCAGAGCCTGACAGCATGAGATCCACATAAAAAATGGGGATGTGGGTGAGCAATATCCACTTTTTTGCATAGTACTCTGTACTCGTCACATCTGGGACGTGGGGAGATGGTGCTCATCCCTCTGGAATGGTTTGATCCCCTGTTCTTATTTCCGCAACAGTGTCTTATTCACTGCACTAAACCAAATCAAAGCCAGGATGGGAAGCAGAGAAGAAAAGGAGGTATGTTCTCTGTCCTAAAGCCAGGTGTTCACCTGCCACCACTACACTCAACTTACAGGACCAAAGCTAAACAAAGAAAAAGGGACCTTGAGCATAACTCAGTGAAAAGAATGTTCCATGGGATATGGAGAGACATCTGTATTCCATGAATGGCTTATGTATTCTGTATTTAAAAGGTACTCATAAGATGGGTAGGACAACTTCAGCAGTGGAACCAGAACTCCCAGGAAATTTTTAATTACTTTTGTGCAAAGTAGGCCTCTAGTGTCAGATGCATCATTGACTCCCAGATTGTTTGATTGCCAAGCCTGCAGTTATATTTGCTGTCTCTGCATTTCCTGCCTTCTGCTGCCTGTGCCTGGAGCTGCTCCTCACTCCGGGTGAAGGAGTAGAATTTCTCTGGGAAAACTTCAAGTCTGTGTCTTCCAGAAGAAATGGAGATAAGTAGCCACAGGCAAAACACTTTGGTATTTGACTCATTCCTTTCTCTGTTGACTGTATAAAAAACAGTGTCTCAACTTGGCACTTGAGTCACACTTTCAGACATAACATTTAATATTTAGGAATCATGATGTCCAACACAGGAACCTGTGGTGTTCAGGGGTGGAGAAACCAAGTAACAAACATGACCCAGGAGCAGTCCATAAACCTGTACCTTATTGCAAAGATTTAGGGGCAAACTACCACAGTACCCCACCACAGGAGAATGAACACAAATGCCCAAGGCTGGCATGTGGAGCTTCACCATCACACTTTGAGAGAGTTCACTGCCCAGTAAAACTGCGTGGGGCATCACTCACCCATTCTAAAACTTTGCCTGATAGCTCTCAAATCTGCATTTCTCGCTCTGTGTCTTAGAAAAATACAACAGATCATTCACTTACATGATGGATAAAACTTCCCCCAAACTTGAAGAGATGTTCTGTAGCTTTGATCAGCTCATGAAAGCCCTCATCCTCTCTGGAGAAACGATGTCCAAACACGACAGCACAAATTACATTTGAGACAGAATGGACCAGAGGGAAAGAAGGATCCACAGGTTTCCCTGCAACCATAATAATTAATAATAAATATCACTGTTAATGTCTCCTGCTTTAGTGAAATGTGAGAGTCTTCTAAGTTACCCACAGAACTTTAAAGAAGGCATTGCATTTCACAGAGAAGCAGCAATATTTTTTTCAAAATTGTAGCATCAAACTGATTCCTCACAACCATGTTGCAATCCCGTAAGCCCAGGAATGTGTGGCATTCTAAAAAATGCCAGATGTGTAAAATATTGCATTATATGATAGAGCAAATTTGGGGGTAAAGGAAAAAAATTCTATGCAAATTTGCTTTCTGGCAAGATCAAAATATGTCTCAAGCATGGGAATGACTGAGAACACTATGGACAAAGGGAACCTGAGGGTAGAAGAGCAAGAGAGGCAGATTTTTCAGCAAGGACACAGGCATGCAAGGCTACTGTGTTTTGTCTGACCTTGCTAGAGACATCCAACCTCCAGTAAGATAAAATGTTGTAAAATGTTTTGAACTCCTTTCAACATATTGTGTCAACAGTATAATAACTAATTTTAAAGCAGTTATTTAAAACCTAATCCCAAGAAAACTATTTTGTGGTTATGGAATATATGGCCATTAAAAACTCTATTTGTGTATGTATTGATGCAACTGCCAAACATCCAAGGCACAATTCTGATTAGTAACTTACTGTTCTGGGGTTTTTTCCTTGCACACATGGTTACACCTCAGTCTCTCCTAGCTGTTAAACCATGGGATTGGACTCAATCTAATTATTTTTAATTTATACAACACTAGCCACAGCATGTCCTGATTTATTGTGCCTTTGCATAATGATCAGTATTGGGAAATCCAACTCACATGATCCTAACTGGGTTGATCAGGGTAGAATCTTGTAAAGAAGACAAGATTCTAGTCAGTGCTTTACAGAGTGCAAATGGCATTAATTCATCAGCACTGATTTTGTCTTTTTGTGCACCAGCACCATAAGAGAGCCAAAAATGTGCCCTTGAGGTAAAAGCCAATATTATCCTGGGCTGCATTAGGAAATTAAATGGTGCCAGGCCAAGAGAGGTGATCCTTCCCCTCTGACCAGCACTGGCAAGACCCAGCTGAAGTTCTGGGTCCAGATCTGGACTCCCCAGTATAGGGACATCAGCATATTAGAACAAGTTGAGCAAAGGGCCACAAGGACATTTAAAGAATTGAAGCATCTGGCATGAAAGGGGCTGAGAGAGATGGACTATTTAGTCTGGAGAAGGAAAGACATAGGGAGATATCTAAATATGTATAAATACATGGTGGAGGGATATAAAGAACATAGAACCAAACTTTTCTCTGTGGTATCAAGTGGGGCAAGAGGTAAAAAATGTAAATACATTAAATTCTGCATAAACACAAGGAATGTTTTTACCATACCACTCACTGAACAGTGGAACTGGTTACCCAGAGAGGTGGTGAAGTCTCCATTGCTGCAGATATTTACAACTCAGCCCTAAGAAACCTGCTCAGATTGACCCTTCTTTGAGTAGGGCTAGACCATCTTCAGAGATCCTTTTCCACTTAGGGTGCTCTATAATGTAAATAATCAATGAGCTCTGGTTTTTCTTCTCAATTTTAGTAGTTTTATAAATAATTTTGAGCAAGAATAGTCTCCTTGAAAACACAGGATGGACTGGTGGCTTTGCATTTTCAGTCCATTCCACACAGTGTAAGACCCTGCACACTCCCTTGTGTAACAAAAGCTGCCCTCCATTTCAGGACAGGACAGAGAAGTTCATACACTAAAGACATCAGACTAATGGCAAAAATGTATTGATATTTGTTGCAGAAATACCTTTCATACTTGCAAAGAAGTCTACCAGGTAGTGAGCTTCTTCTTGCACTCGGTACTCCAGACCTCTTTTCCCCAGACCAAGGTTGCGTAAAGTCCTCAGAGCAAACCTCCTCTGCTGCTTCCAGGTGTGACCAGTTGCCAACATAATCCCTGCATCCATTAAAGGAAGAGCTCCTTATCATGCTAATATTAATCATAGAGAAAGACTACATCAAAGGATTTACTAAGCCACAGCACATAATTAAACTGTTGCCTTGCCTGTGAACACAAAGGCACCAAGGAACAGCTGTGACCTGTAATCATGTTGGGAGGGCTGAAGTGGGCAAACTCAGCTGGGTATAAGATGACTTGCAGGATTAAGTTTGATCCCAGACAATCAGGTACCTCAGGATATCTCAGCTGCTTCTCTAGATACTCTTTGCAGTGCTTGCCTCACTTTCTTCTATGCATGAAGCTCACCTGAATGAGGGTAATGATTCTCATGAAGGGAAAGTGGTAAAGAGTCAGAAAACTGTCCACAGCCAGAGAGAAAAGTTCCTGTCTGCAGGGCAGGAAGGTTCAGTATTTAGGCTTTGTAACAGACTTAGGAAATTTCTAGTGTGGTTGGTGGTATGAAACCTAGAGCAAGGTTGAAACAGAAGCACACTGAATTTCTAGGTACAACTGTGCCAGCAGGAAAATATTCCCAAAAGGAAGGGAATGGGAAGAAGGTCCTACTGTCAAACTCACTCTTCATGGAAAAATGTCATAGTGGGAGGCAGCTTGTCCAGGACAAGGAACTGTTTTTTCCTGCTTTTTCTCCATTTCTCTGTGACACAACTCACCATTGCCTCATGTCATCACCTCTGAATCTGCCCCAGTGAGTATTCCATAGAAGATATTATGAATCCTTTTTCTCTTGCTAGTATTTTCCTCCTGCTATTTCTTTCTCCAAAAGCTATTTCACCTCTCTGTACCTTGCAATTCACCTGGCAGTCATTCCTCACAGACAAACCCTGCCTCTGCTACCTCTGAAGGTGGTCACAAGCTACAAAAGATACTGCAATTTGTCAAGATGCACTATTTATGTGCACTATTTATGCCAGGAAATTCTCACCTTTTCCTTTGGCCATTGCTCTGAAGAAAGGTGATACCAGCCTGCCAGAAACATCTTCAGGGTGTGTGGTCATGCCATCCTTCACTGCTTGAAATCCGTTCAGTATAACCACTGGGGCCCATCCAAACCATAAGGTGAAGATGTTGCCATGAATTTTTGCCAGCTAGAGATGGGAGAGAAGCCAGGAAAACACAGATGAAATCTCACACACTGCAAACAGTGAACCTGTTCTTGCACTGATTACAGGACCAGCCCTAAGGTGGAGTGATGTTCTCCGTTTTTCCCACCGGACTGCAATTATCATTGAGAAAGCATTAATGACTTTTCCAGCATTCACTGTTGGAAACACCTGTGTATTCCCACTTTTCAGAGCCACATTCCTATGTCAAGAAACATTAAGTACCTTTCATTACTGTATATAAGTCAAGGCTCAGTTCACAATCGTTCATGGGATAAAGGATATTTTCTATTTATTAATTTATTTCAAGAGGTTTCTATTATTTGTACAAGTAAAGTAGCACAAAAGAACACAGAACTGTCAGAGGAGTAATTAGCTTAGAGACTGGACTTTCTTCCTTCCTCCCATCTGTTTTTGATCCTGTCAATACAAACAAGCTGATACTGAGTGCAGGCTAGTATCTATTTACTGCTCAAGCTAGAGAGTGCCAGTGATCAGAAAGCTACAAATCCATGCAGTGAAAGTAATTTTTTAATAGTTTTTCCCCCCTAACTCCAAATCTAATGTATAATCCCTAAAGATATTTAATTTTCACATGAATTCATGACATTTAGTGGCAAGGGGTCATAGAAAGATATCAAGTTTCACACGCATTTCAGTGAAAATCAGTGTTAAAAGGGGACAGGTTTAAACACCAGAACAACCTTCACACATTCAGAAATTCCAATACCCAGTTTCTTAGCTTGGCAAACTACTTTACACTGCAATATCTTTTTCTTATTTTGCAAACCAAACCAGCAGTTCTGAACCAAACCAAGTGTGATATCACAGTGGCCAGTTAACAGTTACAGTACTACCAATGTAGTTTTGGGAGAGGATGTTTCGTGTAGCAAGCAACATGAGAAAGAAGAAATCACAAAGGCTTTTAGACAATTAGGAATATCTGAAAATAAGTACCTGCATGAGAAGATCACGATTAAACTGAAAGTTCAGCTGTATCAGTGTCCCAAGGATTGGGAGAGGGACTGGTCCGGGAGGAAACCGTTTCCGCACTCGCTGCAACTTTAAAAACTGCGTAATTAGAAGAAATACAGCCACTGCTACAAGGGCTTCACTTATGCTCAACATTTTTGTGTCTGCCTTTAGCAGCTTGCCTTTATTCAAAATTGTCTATTGAAGCTATTAAGGCTGGTTGCTAAACCAGTTTTTTCATAAGAGCTTGAATTCACATAATAAATATTCCCCGCCTCTAACCCTACCTCTTTATTATCAACCACTCCCTTTTTGTTCCACTCATTACATTCTCATGCTCCAGCATATTAATAGATGCACACCCTTCTTCTTCTCATCCAGATTATACTTATTCAATATGGATCACAGGATTTGTAGGAATGGTATCTTAAAAGACTAGGGCCAAGATTTTCCAGGCAATGGAGATGCATGTAAATTCTCCATCTAGTTTTTCTGAGCCAATTTTGAATGGTATGTGTTCCTACAAATACTCCAGGAATGCTTTTAGAAAAGCAATAGCCATACATACAAATTAAGCAGGCAAATATAAGTGGATATTAAATCTTGGAGTTTTTAAATTGGTTTGTATATGTTCCAGGTACACGTTATATCTAGTAATAGCAAGGCTGATAGAAGTTAAAAGCCCACATTTATCTTAAGATACATATACAACTATCTAATGCTTAATACAAAAAGCAAAATTTGTTACACTCTTGAACATAATTGAAAACACAACTGGATTAATGTATGACCTCACTTTTTTCCCTAACGTGTTAGCACTAGGAAAACTCACAGAGGGTTTTGTCTGCTTCTGCATTTCCCCATTCAGTCTTGACATAAGGTGAGCACCCCATATGATTTGAGAAATCATCAGAAAGTATGTGAGATAAATAACGCATATTTATGGAGAAAGTACATCTGGTGTTAAATATACAGATTTAAAAGACAAAAAAATTTAAAACATGGGAAAAACCTAGTAGGGATCTTGAGCTACCGCCAGAACCAAGGGCCTCAGCAAGAACTAGTCATGACATGAGTGTGGATCCTTGGTAGCTTGAAAACAGAGTCTGTAGCCAAGGTTCTTTGCCAAGCCTCAACACCAGCAGGAACCACAAACACGGCACCAGGGGAGTTCACAGGCTGCAATCAGACCATGGAAACCTCACAAGAGGGGTTCTGGGTACCACGTAACCATGACCATTGCAGTCCCTGCTTACAGATCCAGAAATGCTTCCCTCTCAAAATTGCCCATCCCTTGAGAGCAAAGCACTTGTGAAAGAAACATGTTTTCACTAATCTTCTGAGAAAACTGCCAAGACTTGTGCACCAGCTCACTTCTTGCAAGCTGACTTTGGGACAGATTTTGTGGCTCTGGAACACAGAAGACCCTTATCCAGAAAGAAGAGCCTGGAGTCTGCCAGCATATGGTTTACAAACCTCCAGATCAATTAGCCTTCTTTACCACTAATGCATAACTGATTAATGTGCATTAACCAAGGGATGTTTATAGGTTTCCACATAAGCTTTGTTTGTGTACACTAAAAAGGTGATTTTTCAAGACAATAATTTCTAATTTATCTCTCCCTTTCAACAGCAAAAGTAAAATTCTCTTTAAAAAGAAATTGGTTAAGTTTTGCCTTCTCTGTCTGCAGTGCAATCTCACAAACTCAGCTGCAAATTCCCCAATTTATCATCAGAACTTTTAATTTTGAATCGATATAATACATTCCCTTTTCTTTTAGATATGAGAAGATTTTCCATCTAAATGATTTTTCATCAGGAAAAGTCATTTTTGTCCACTGGAATTTAAGCCCCAGTGCCTTCACCCCACAAGGGCTTCAGTCTTACACCTTTAACCAGTGTTCAGCTGGAGCCAGCCTGGAATACAATTGTCTCACACTGGAAAAGGAAGATCACTATGGGTCGGTTCAGATCTGAGGCATGGGATTTATCTTACTTTATTTGATGGAAAATGTATTTATGAGATAGACAAGGCTCCATTTTCTTAATAATTACTAAATGCAGCCAGCAGCAGCATTTCTTCAGCACTATCTACCGGCTATTCTTTAGGATTAATGATTTTTATCTTGCCAAAGGCAAGCAACTGCTACCTCCCCAGATCCAGATGGATATAAATGAATTGTTCTCTTACCAGTGTGGAGCTACTGCCAGGGGAATGTTTGTAGGTCCAGTGTGAGGGGACTTCATACCAACCACCTACATGCCAGGACATGGGTAGAACAATCCCATAAAGGTAATCCTGCGGGACAAGAAACTGCAAACCCAGGTTTCATCCTGTATGCACATCCCTGCCTGTTAGACTGGGGTGCTTTAAAACACAAGGTAGGCAGAGGCACCTGAAACAAATACAGCTGTGATGATGATGTCAGTCCTGGAGATGGCACTGTCAGCTAATCAGAGTATAAAAATAATCCTTCCTATGTTGGCATGCAGTATCCAATTTGTACCTCATACAAGAAGAATGTATCCCAATGCCATAAAGGAAAATTCCTTGTTAACTGCCAGTAAGCAAACCAGCAAAAAACCTCCACTTCTGCCAAGTCCTTGGGCACCTGGCTCATAAAGGCTTCCAGAATTCTTCAGTAGTGCCAAATCTGCTCTTGGTCATGATGTGCTAAGTGAAGTCATCTAGCTGTAATAAAGAATCCATTTTAAAAAATGAAAGAATAAATTAAGGTGAATAAATTTTTGGAGGATCTGGAGCAATCATCACAAGTAGACTACCTGGCATGAAGTTCCCATGTCGTTGGCAACCAGTGAGCTCATAAAAAAAGATAAATTATCAACACTCTGTAATTGCTCACTGTTGTCATTTGCCTTCCAGTCCTTGCTCTTTGCTTGTGATATGAAAAGCTCTCCAAAACTGCCTGATGAAGCCACTCTTCTGTTTCATCAGAAGGGTTGAAATGCTACCTGGATTAGTGGGTGAAACCCTGAACTGTCTTCCTAAATGACAGCATTGCATACAACAGGCTTGCTCAACAGCAAACCATATCAGTCTAAGGGAATATGTTATCACAGATCATACTGCCTGCCTCTAGAAAGGTTCCTCCAAGAGCTTCTTTTACCTCCTGCACCCACTAATATCCCAAGACAGACTGGAAGACCTCTAAGCCTATCTCCACAAATGCAACTGTGGCTCATGAGAAAGAATCTTTATTCATGAGTCTTCCAATTCATAGACCACACTTCAAGATCATTCTCTGTAAAACCTCTTTCCAGTTGGTAATATATAAGTCCCAATTGTAATTCTTCCCTTAATGCCTTTATTTGTTACACATCACAAGAAATTTACCAATATTTTCAAAACAGAAAAAAAAAAAAAAATGAACCCTTTATAATTATAATGTTCAGGATGCAACTGTATGTCAAGAATCTTTCAGAGTAGTGATTAACCAAATGAAGAGGAAAGCAAAAATCTTAGGACATGCAAGAAGGAACTGACATACAGAAGCAGCTTTACAGAGTGACTCTTCCCTGAATCTGCCATTTCCTATCGAGGAATGGCACAGAGCTGGTAGGGAGGTGGCTTCATCGTGCTCCCAAAAACAAACTTGGTGTTGACTTCCTTCACTCCTTCTGGCAGGGTGAATGTGAATGCTTGTAGCAAGGTGGAAAAGACAATGAAGAGCTCCATCCTTGCCAACAGCTCCCCCATGCACACACGGTGCCCTGTGAAGAAACAGAAAAGGCATTTCAGCCACAGGATTTCTATCACACCTCCCTTTCTAAACTGCCTGGGATTTTCTTTGCTTGTTTTCTGCAGATTTTATCCTTTTCTCTTAAGTTTGTCATTTAATGATTCATAACTGAAAGGTTGCTTGTATTTCCACAAAAAGTTTCAATGTACATTTACAGCAGGCAGTAAAACATTATAGAAATTGTCACCAGCGTGGCACAATTCATATTTGCAGTCTTCCCAGCACCATGCATTTTTCTGTTACTGCTTTGATAGCTTGATCTCTTCTCAGAGAGAAACTGGATCTGTCTTCCAAGAAAGACTTATCTATGTGTCATTCCTTCTATTCCAATCGTTTTCACATACAACTGGACTTCTCTCTTCTTTGAGATCTTTAAAGCAGTTTGTGTATGCCCATTTGTAGGTGCCTTCCCAGTTATTCTGAGGAATTAATGGATCTGAAGTTGTCACCACAAGGAGTAAATAAATCCCTGTTCAGTGCACTTACCTATAGCAAATGGTAAGAATGCTTCTCTGTTTACAAAGTTTCCATCTTTATCTAGAAAGTGGCCGGGGTTGAACTGATCAGGTGTCTCCCATTTTCCAGGATCAGCCAGAACAGAGTCAATATTTGCTAAAACTACTGTGTTCTGAAAAAAAAGGAGCAGTGGCTTCAACAAAAACTGTGACTGTAGAGTCTACTGATATCTAGGACAAAGCCTTGTGAAAAGCAATCCACAGAGACAGTCAAACCTTAGAGGCACTAGAACAAGAGTTCATGATGTCCCCAGTCAGAAAAAACCTCAAAACGCTTTCTAAAATCATCTAATGGACCAAAGATCAAATTGATTCAAATATGCAGCACATTTGTACCTTTGGAATGTGATATCCCAGCAGCTCCGTGTCCTTCACACTCATTCTGGGCAATGCAATTAAGAGTATGTTACTGTATCTCTGGATCTCGTGAATTACAGCATTTGTGTAGGGCAACTTTTTCCTGTCCTCATAGCAAAATACATGAGAACAACCCACAACAGCATCCAGCTCCTTCTGGACTTTCTCTAAGGAGGAATATTCAGCTTTAAATATATAGCAAACAATCTATAAACTCTATAGTCATAATTTTCCCTGCTGCTTTTTGCAGTTAGAATGGCGTCCAACCAGAAGAAAAAGATACTTTATAAAAAATAATGCCTTCAAATTCCCATACAGATAGCCTGAAAAAATTTCATGTTGAGGTTGTTTATAGGTTGCATATATACTTTTAAAATAAGATAGCAGATGAGGTCATTCTATAATAATATGTGGGTTCCTGTTACATTTACTGCTCTAAGGTAATTTATAAAAATACTTTTATTCATATTTATTTCTACAGGCAGGGAGTCAACTGGAAAAAAATATTAATTGTGTGTTAGGG